GAGTCTATATCGCTAAAGCCAACTATATGGTTACGGCACGTAGATGACACTTTCATACTCTGGCCACATCAGGAAGAAGTCCAGGTTCTTCTGGACCATGTGAACTCAATAAGACCTTCGATACAGTTCACAATGGAGAAAGAGAGTAACAACTCACTCCCCATTCCTGGATGTACTAATATCTCGAACAGAGAATGGGTTCAAGACATCCGATACCGTAAACCGACATTCACCGGACAGTACCTCAATTTCAACTCCCACCATCCATACAGCATAAAAGAAAGGGATCGTCCGATGTTTACAACACCGAGCAAAAAGTCATAAGTGGCGATCCAGAGACGTTAGATAAGGAATTGGTCAGTATAAGTAGTACCCTACAACGCAACAACTACCCTGGGTACATGGCAGCGGCCCCCAAAAACTGGGATAGGCGGGTACAAGAGGAGGAGGAGGACAACAACACTCAGAAAACAGTCTGCCTGCCTTATGTGAAGGGGTTATCAGAGAAAATACAAAGGATCTGCGGTCTATATAACATCAGGACAACCTTCAAAAGCGTGACAACACTTCGCAGGTATCTCTCACGAGTGAGACCCCCCATAGAGAGGAACATGACTAAAGACTGTGTGTACGCTTATCCCATGCAGCTGCGGAAAGGAATATAAAGGAGAGACAGGCCCCCTCAAGGTAAGGCTTCAAGAACACCAGAAAGCTGTAACGCGAGGGGAAGTAGAAAAATCAGGCGTGGCTGACCACATATGGAGAGAGAAGGAGATCACCGCGCCTGTGGGATCATGTTGAGATCATAGACAGGGAACACCATTGGAAAATTCGTAAACTTAAGGAATCAGCACATATGCTAGGCCACAAAAATCTCCTGAGCCGACCAAGCATAGAAATAAATACAATATGGGAACCAGTAATAAGGAGTGCCAGAGAAAAGCAATGATAACAAAGTTGCAATATGAACTCTGGTAAAGACATGCAATGATAACAGCAAAAATTGCAATATGAGCACTGGTAAAAATGATGCTGAAAACATTAGGTTTATAATACTCAGAAGTTCATACCCAGATGTCCTCAAGGACAGTTGGTTAGATCCAGTGACAGACCCAAAGTGAAGGTGAGTTCAATTCCTGGTTAAGGCAGTGGAGAACTTTCAGAGGGAAAATTAGCAGGAGATAACTGACATCCATCAAACATGGCACGTGGAATTAGAACAGTCTACCCCAGCGATCGAAATAAAGGGTTCAGTTCGAAATTCCAACGTTTCAACGGCCGAAACGTTGTGACAAATATGGCGACAAAGATGAGGACAATAGTCCGACTAATGTAAATACTGTACATAATACCTCATCTCAGAAATATAGACAAACTTTTAGGGAGGGAGGATAGTAAAAAAAACAAACATTGCATTAGATCTAAAAAAAAATAATAGGATCAAAGTGTAGTATCTTGCTTTGGAGAGCATTGAACCTCTCTGCTGGCAGAGAGGAACCTGGACGAGGCTCCGCCGAAGGGTGGGGTTTCGTTCGGGAGGTTGACGGAACTACGTCCTGAAGCATATAAATAACCCACGTTGAAGGAACGTCAACAAATCAAATTGAAAAAAATATTGTTTACATTACAAATAAAATTTTATACAATGCATTTTCAAATTATGTATGATCTATGAAAAACTTTTCTTTTTTAATTTAATCTTTTTCAACCGGTTCATTTTCAAAATCCAAAAATTAAGCTTAAATTCAAGTTAAAAATTTAATTTTACCATTTATATATTTTCATGAATGGTAGTCATTCATTCATTGTAAAATAAATGTTTTTAAAAGTAATTATTTTATTACTTTTGTAATTAACGATCAGTAATTTTTAAAAGTAATGATCGTTTCTCAAAACATCTATTTCATTCCAAATTTACAAAAAAAAAAAAGGAATTATTTTTGGTATTTCTTTCAGTTGCTTGTTAAAGTTAGGAAAATAACCTTTTTTTATCCCAGTTTCAACATTGTAAAAAATGTCAAGGTCAAAAGTCAAAAAACCCAATAACAAATTCGTAAAAAAAAAAAAAAAAATATATATATATAATTTGTAACCTTCTTAAGAATTTACCTCAGAAATCATTTACACATGTGGAATGGAAATCGCCGGTCATGTGACCATGTTGCTCTTAGTTACTGTCAAAGAAGCCGGAAATAAAAGTTTCTTTGCATTGTTCTTAGTTTTTATTTTTATACCATTGAACAATAAAAAATTCATTTTAATTAAATAATCTGTTCGTTTTCTAAAATGATACGTACAAAACAAAGAAATAAGTTTCTGAAAGTTAAAACAATTTATGAAGTTTTTATGGTTATTCAATTGCATGTGCGTATTGTTTGATCTTTCGACAAAAGTAGAAAAATATTAATAATTATTTCAATAACTTTTTTTTTCATTTTTTCATGATTTCTATAAATTCAGGGTGACCCAACACTTTGTACACTTCAAAAACGAAGCAGGAAAGGCCTTAAAAAAAAAAAAAAAAAAATGTGGGGGGTTAAAAAAAAAAAAAACTAAGTCAGGACAAAAAATTAAATTCAGTTATTCACTTTCGATGCATCAAAAAAAAAGTTTAAGGCATTTTTAATTTTTGCTTAAATAAAAAATAAATCCTACTTTGATCCCGCGGCAAATATACCACAAACTTTTAAAAAATTCAATTTTTAGTACATACCTTGTTTTAGATACTCGTAGAAAAAGCGAAAATTCTATTTTTAAAATTAAATATTTCGATTACGTATTTTTTCTAATTACGTTTCGCCAGAGAAATAATTGGTAGTAAGTAACCAAAAAAAAAAAAAAACTGCGGTTCGAAGTTCAGTTGTTTTTGTTTTTATCAGGAATTTTTTAACTAAATAACTAATAATCAGTAACAATCAAAAAAAGTACTAAAAATACTTTGCGCCAAATGCCGAATTTTTTAAATTAAAAATGTGTGAATTGTATTTTTTTTTTTGGTGTGTCACGCAAGGTAAGCCAATCAATTATTTAATTAAACAATTTGTCACGTGAGTAGTGAACGAGGATTTTTTTTTTACCTGCCGCCTAGTACAAACAAAAACATTTTTATGTAAGAGAGGCAAAAATATTACTTTGAAAAAAAAAATCAACAAAGTGAGGGAGGGGCAAGGCTGTTGCATTCCCCCGCCCCAAAAAAAAAAAAAAAAAAAAAAAACACATCACAAATTTATTCTTATGGTTTTTCAGGGTTTAAAGATTGACATCAAAGTAAAATAAAATAAATAAACTAAACAGAAAGGTATTTTTACAAGAAAACAATGAGTTGAAAACTTGAGTCTTGACTAAAGAAAAAATAATGTAATAACAGCTGAATTGTATATGACAGTTTAAAAAGTTGCTCATCTGGACGGAGATCGAACTTTACGACATAATCCATGTTTTTTGAGAAAGAAATTCTTCAAAGAATATCTTTAAAAAAAATCTTGTTTTCCCGAAAATAAAAAATCAGGTGTGTTACAAAAGAATGACTGTGTTGTGTAGTAAATAAAAATTTATGCGATAGTGTATTGTAGGAAGCCCCTCCTTGTAAATACAATCAATGAAAAAGGTACACGTGAGAGGGTCCCCACGTTAATCTTTCTTTTCCTTCACACCTGCTCATCTTTTCCTCCTCCTACTTCTTCCCATTTTCTTTTACTTATTTTTTTTACCTAAAGAGTAACAGCAATTAAAAAGGTATGCTAACATTACATAAGCAGCACAGCACTACTTTTTTTTTAACACCTTTTTTTTTTTTTTTACTTACCAAGAAGGCAGCACTGAATTACAGTTGAACAAGTAGAATCAAAAAAAGGGACAACACGAAATTTTGAGAAGCACTGGCCCAGCTGCTTAAAATTGCCGTAAGAAAGTCAAACTCCTAAGCCAAGAGCCAATTCGGTTTTGGTAAACTAAACAGTTCTTTCTAACAACAACAACAGGATAAAAATAAATATATATATATTATATATAAATAATCAAGCAGAGAGAGAAAGATGAATCAAGAGAAAGGTATATAACCGAATTCTCCCACTGGCATTCCTGTTGGTCACGTGACTTGCTCATCTTTCTTTTTCCTCCGTCATTATTATTAGTGAGTTAAGTTTGGCTTTTTAGTTTTTGGTAATGCTTACAATTCCAAGAGAACGCGAAAGACGAAGGGAGGAAAGAAAGAGAATGGTTGGAGGAAAGAGGAGTGAACAGCCTCGCCCCTCTCAGGTCAGTAGCAGCGGCAACAGTGTAACCACACAGAGACCACATGGGCTTGCTCTACACAGGGCCATCCCATATATGGTGGGTGGGTGCTTCCCTTTTAGATTCAACTTCTCTCCCTAATAGACAGACCTAGTTTATCTGCGAGACCCGGTTTCTCTTTTAGTAAACTACTTTATATTTTAACGCTTGCACGTTTAAATTATTGATTTTTTTTTTCTTTGGCAAAAATTTTTTTTTTTTTTGATGCTACCAATAATTTTCACCATTCTTCGACATTGTTTTTTTTTTTTGGTTTTTTATTCTTCCCAATGAATAAAGAGGCCTTAAATAAATAATTAAAAAGAAATTATGTTATATTTTCTGCCCAACGAGCCTCTTGTAAACTAAAACAGTAACCTTCTCCAAAACATTTCCTTCTTTCTCCACATTCTGAATGTACTTTTAATTTGTTTATTATTACACTAAATTTCATATCGCTACTTTTCAAGGGTTAAGGAAAAATTTAATTCCTATTTTCTGTTTTTGTTGCTTTTTTTATATGACAGCGAATAAATAAGGCAGAGAAATCAGGTTCTTATTCTTACAAGCAAAGGGATTATTTAAGCGAGGCGAGGGATATTAAATTTTACTGTCGGCAGATCCTTTGGGTTTCATGAATGGGATTGTAGCAATATTTACTTTGACTTGAGGGAGAGGGGAAATTCCCCCACCTCTCTCTCGTAATAATGCAGTTTTTCGAGTACGATTCAAAGGAAAGTTTTCGTTCCTTTTGCAAAACAGATGGGAGAGAGACAGTGAGAGGCGGGCAAAGAAACAGAGAGGACTAGTTGGCGGACAGACGGATGGAGACCTATTGTGCGGGGAAATGGGTGTAGATAGTGTGCACGTGGGCCTGGGTGGTGGCGGACAGACGGAGACAGTGTGCACGTGGGCCGGGGTGGTGGCGGACAGACGGAGACATAGTATGCACGGATGCCGGGGTGGTGGCGGACAGACGGAGACATAGTGTGCACGTGGGCCGGGGTGGTGGCGGACAGACGGAGACATAGTGCACGTGGGCCGGGGTGGTGGCGGACAGACGGAGACATAGTGTGCACGTGGGCCGGGTGGTGGCGGACAGACGGAGACATAGTGTGCACGTGGGCCGGGGTGGTGGCGGACAGACGGAGACATAGTGTGCACGTGGGCCGGTGGGATATGTGGACAGACGGAAACAGTGCGCCTGTGCGGGGGGATATGTGGACAGAACGAGACCTTGTGTGCACGTGGGCGGGCGACGGGCGGACAGACGGAGGCAGAGTATGCACGTGGGCGGGCGACGGGCGGACAGACGGAGGCAGAGTATGCACGTGGGCGGGCGACGGGCGGACAGACGGAGGCAGAGTATGCACGCGGGCGGGCGACGGGCGGACAGACGGAGGCAGAGTATACACGTGGGTGGTGGGGTGGTGAACGGGCAGACAGAACGAGACCTTGTTTGCACGTGGGCGGTGGACGGGTGGACAGGAAAAGACCTTATTTGCATATGGGTGGGAGACGGACAGACAGATTGAGACCTAGAGTGGACATGGGCAGGGGGTCAGATGGACAGGGGAAAAACTGGTGACGGGGGAACAGCAGATAGACGGTGACCTAGTGTGTTCGGGGAGAGGGCAGTACAGGTGAACAGACGGGAGAGACAGTATGCACGGGGGGGGCAGTGAACAGGCAAACAGACGAAGATCTTGTGCGCACGTGGGAGGGGGACAGACAGCGTGTATGTGGGTTAGGGACAGACAGAGTACTAGTGGGCAAGGGAGGAACAGAAAGAAACTGTGTTGGAGTTGAGCAGGAACTGACAGAGTATGAGTGGGTTTAATAGCTACAGAATCGATTGGGGAGACAGTAACAAAGATAAGATTACTTTTTCAGAATAATTTGCAATAAAGTAACAAAAAGTATCAAACACACCCTTATACTCTTGAATAAATACTTTTTGAATTACTCTGTATTATGTGAATAATTTGATTTAACAATAATAAGAAAAAAAATTTACCATGATCTGCTGTTCTTTCAAAACTGATATAAAATAACGATACCAATTAAAAATGAAAGACAACAGTTTCAAACAGAATACTTTTTCACTATTACTTCTTCTCTCATCCTCACTCCATTTCTCATGAAAAGATTTTAAAATTTGAACATTGTATTTCAGTCATTTGAAGTAAATTTATAATTCACTAAAATTTGGTCCAGGAGAATTGCCCTCAAAGTAGCACTCCTCACTGCACAAACAGCAAGTAAAAGAAAAATATGTTTGCAGCTATACCGTGTATATTTCCCCAGCCTCACAACTAAGATCGTTTTTACATGAGGAATACCATACCCATACATATGGGCCAAAGCAATTTCCAGATCACCATGTGACCTTCAGTAACACATAAATCCCTCCCAAATGCACACACAAAATAAGGACTATGTCACATTCGTCCTCATCAGACAACAATGCAGATGACACAGCATTGATAGCAGACATGGAAAGAAAACAGCAAAAAAAATCTCTACAGAAGGTAGTGAAGGAAAGCAAGAAGAAAGGACTAAACATAAACTGCAAGAAGACAGAATGCATTGTTGTTAGTAAAAGGATGATCCCAAAGTGTGAATTGCAAATCAGAGATATCAAAATCAAACAAGTACAAAAATTTAAATATATAGAGAGTGTTTTAACAAGAAGTGCAACACTGAAATCCGAAGGCACATTGTGGTAACCAAAGATGCATTCCAAAAACTTAGCAGAATATTAAGAAATAGAAAAACTTTGCTAGAAACAAGGAAAAGTGTACTAAACTGTCACATGATATCTGTCCTCCTGTATTGCAGTGAGTGCTTGACAATCTGCTGAAAGATGAAAAGATGTGAAACACCAGAAATGTGGTTCTACAGGAGGATGCTGAAAATACCATAGACCAAGCATTATGAGCAACAATGAAGTTTCAGAGAAAATGGAAACAAAACGACACTTATTAACATAAGGAAGAAGCAGTTGACATTTCTAGGACACGTAATGAGGAAAGAGGTCTTGAAAAATATGATACTCACAAGACAGATTGAAGGAAAGAATGACAGTGGAAAACAACCATACTTAGTGAGCTTGATTAATTGGATGCTGGAAAAGAGTTTAGAACAAAAAGACAAAATTTATTAAGAGCTACAAAAGCCAAGAAATTGTGTAGAGCCATTATCAGCTATGTCCTGAGGCGACATAGCACAAAGAATATTTATTATAATCCATTGAAAGAAAAAAGTCTAAGCAGTAAGTAAAGAGTTTGACCTTGAAACAAAAGGTCATTTGACTAAAGTTGACATTATGCACTTGAGTTAGTGGTTGAAGCCTTATTGAATTTAAAAAGGCTGGTTGAATTTTTGAGATGAAGAATTGCCCTTATCAAAATCCTCATCTTCGTCTCCTGCTTGTCTACAAGACAAAAAAATTATTTCATACGGCTAATAAAATGAAATTAACTACATAACAGTGGCAAACTTAGATAAGAAAATGTGAGAAGATGGCTTCTTCATTGCATTTTTTTTTCACTAATTCAACAGGTTTCCTTCTCCCCCCCCTTCTAGTCTGTCATTGTATAACACATATGGCTCAAACTGCCTGCAAAAAAACATGTTTGCAGAATATTTTTGAAAATTCACAAACTTTTGTTAGCTTTTAGTAAGGTATTCCAATCTACAATGCAAATATAATGTTAAAAAAGAAAATGGACCCTCCACCACATTAGCTAACCAAAATGAAATCTGTGAAACACACTCCTGGAAAAAATATTTCCCCAAATTTTTTTTTAATAATAAACAAAAAAGATTCAGTAAAAGATTCATTCATTAATGAACAAGTACTGAAAATTGTTTGAATCTGATAATTTCCTTGGCAAATATTTTAAAATGGGGGTAGCAATTTTTTGCTTTCATTTTGGAAAAAAAGTATCCATTTTGGTGGTATCTAATAAAATAAAGAAAAATGAATCTGTGGAGAACCACATTCATCTACATCCTAAAGGGTTATTAAATATGAAAAAATACTAAGAGAAGAGATGGTCATTTTCAGAAATTTCATATCTTGTTGGTTGACTCAGTCAATGGAGAATTCATTTTTATGGTTGATTATCTGGACACTGTGAGACAAGTGTTGAAAAAATATGTTCGGATAATTTAAAATTTATATCATCAAATAACATTTTCAACAACTTTGTTCAATCAAGATATTGAGCAGTTTATGAAAAAAAAAAAAAAAAAAAAAAAAAATGTAGCACTTTCCGTCTGTTTTCGACTGTCCTCACATTTTTCTTCCGCTACATCCCAAAGCTGGATTAAAGCACGTATTTGAAAGTGGGGAGCTTTTAGCTGAAAGCACAACCAATTTGCCAAACAATCATTACTTTGGTGTTGGAAATAGAAATTTTGTACATTGTGAATGGTTTTCCTAAATTTTCAAACGCTTCAGCATATGTGAGATTAAATTTTAGATTGTTTTTGTTTTTTAGTTTGGATAATTGAAAAATGTTTGAATATTTTCAATTTTTCCCTTCATGTTTGGATAAGCGAACTCTGGAAAATCAAATCACGGATAATCGAATGAGGAAGTACTGTGTGTGTGTGTGTGTGTGTGTGTAAAATGAGATACGTAATCTTGAAGTTGAGCAATGGCTTAGAGAAAAAGAATTGTTGAAAAAGCAATCAACAAGTACACACACACAAAAAAAAAAAAAGAAAAAAAGTCAAACTAAAACACCATACAAGTGAAGAATGACTGTTCAGTGTTATTACAATTCAAAAAAAAAGATACTCCCCTCCCACCTCCATTCAAACCAATTTTCCATTCCTTCTTGGTTTTTTAAACTGAGGTTTATCCCTTGTTTTCTGTTCATTCCAACTAAAATTTTCTCATTTACTTTTCACTCAGTAGCCCTTTGTAACTTAGTGGCATTATTGCCTTGCTTGGAGTGAATTGATTAAAAATATAAATAAAAAACAATATAAATACATTTATTTTTAAGGCTGAATTGCTTTATCCTTACTCAACTGGGGGCTTAGTACTTTTTTTTTTTTTTTTTTGATATATCTGATAAAGAATTAGATAAAATCAAATTATTAATTTTAAGGAAAATACTCATGAACTGCTGAAACATTTTCAAAAAAATTCATACCGTTTCTTTTTTCTCTTGTTAATCATTTCGAAATAATATTTGTTTTTCATCAAGTTTAAAATGTAATCAAAAACGTTTTTTTCTGTCGTTGCAATATGACACAGAGTTATTTAACCCAACCTTATGATTGACAGGTGGTTAACCTACAAAGTAAGTGTTCAGTAAGTATTGTTATATTTATCTTTGACCCCACTCCATGCACATACAAAAAAAAAAAAAAAAAAAAGAAAGAAAAAGTAGTAGTCAGAAAGTAAAGAGTTGTTACTTCATTCTATTTCTGTGTCCTCTTTCCAAGTTGATATCATTGGTTAGGATAAATGACATGAAAGAGAAAAATAAACACAATTTAATGTTGGCATCTAGGTCCTTTTTTAAGCCTACGAAAAAAAAAAAAAAATCCCCTAACTTCGGTCGGCAAATACGCAAAGAAATTTGCAGAAAGATGGAAACATTTTTATTTTTTATCCAAGCCAACAGATGCTAACTTGAAATTCAAGTTTTATTATTAAATAATTTGCATAAGTTAGTTAAAAGGGGAGGTAGGGAAAGAACAAGTCGCAAGATGAGCCAATATAATAAATCATTTGTTTTTTTTGTTTGTGTGCGTGAGTATATATATATATATATATATATATATATATATATATATGTGTGTGTGTGTGTATTTATTGGTTTGTTTTCTTTTATTCTTCAAAAAAAAAAAAAAAAAAAAAAAACACCCATTCTTGGCTGCATGTAGGAAGATCAATACAACCATGCATACCTAATCTAGAACTTTGAATAGCCCAAGTGAAGTCTTGATTGGTTGTTGTTTACTTGGGCAACTTATATAATTCATGTTCTAAACCTAGTGGCAAATTTTTGTTCTAGGTGCAGGCCGAATACTGATCATATTCGGTCGGGTCGCCCATCGAAGAAGTCTGTTGTTTATTTAGACCCGAAACTTCTAGTGACATGGGAGCAACAACACTGACGACACATCCTGATTCAGCACTTAAAGGTGTATTTTAATAATAATAACATCTATTCTATATTGGTCAGATATATTTTGAATCCAGAATTAATGGTTAATTTAATAAATTTTAAAACACATATCTTCACATATGAAGTTCATCCATCAATCAACAAATGCCAACTAGACAAGATTTCAAATGAAATATCTTACAAAAATATATCACTATCAATAGTAAAGCAATTTTAAAAAATAAATAGAAAGACTATATAGAGACAGACATCTGAAGAAGTGCAGAAGGTACAATGGTTGAAACAACAAGATCTGAATAGTAAGACAAATCATCATATGACTTTATAATTCTGCATGTTCTTTCATTGGTTAACACATGCATTATACCCAGCTATTTCTTCATAAATAATAGATGCCATATTGATTGTGAGGAAAGACAAAACTGGTTCTAATGAGAAAATAACGCATGCGGAATAAAAAAAAGTTAAGATAGGTGAGGTAATATAACACTCATGCATTTCACGTCTGCTTCAGTGAAATGGAAAACAGAATCAATTTTAAATCTTTACATTTGTACCCTCTGACTTCTTTAAATATTGACCTGACATTCAGACACAATATTATCACAATATTTTGTTAGAGTTGTTAAACTCAAATATTTAACAATGCAATAGGGGTGTTTCCATGAGTATTTTAAAGTCATAGGATTCACCAGGAGCTTATTCAAACATTAACTTAGCAATTATGATTCATCAGAAAATTCAGATAGAAAAACCATGAAATTTTCACAAGTATTGCTGGTAACGATAATTCCTCATATTAAAAAATTCTGATATTAAAACACAATGTGAGACATTATATATATATATATATATATATATATATATATATATATATATATACACACACTATTTACATTGTTTCAACTGTTGTATGCCCCAGCCTTCTTCAGTTATACATGTTAGAATTTACAACTGAACCCTTTATTTCATCCACAGGAATAGATCGTTCTAGTTCCATGCCTTTTCCAGATAGTTTCAGTTATTTCTCTTTTGTCACTCAACTTTCCAAGTTTTATCCACTGGGCCATGTGTCCCGAGATATCCAGAAAAGGGCATGGCATATGGAACTAGAACAATCTACCCCAGTAGATGAAATAAAAGGTCAAGATTTAATTAGTGAATAATATAACATCTACTCCTTTTCAAAAAACTGG